GAGGAGGAGAGGATGGGCTTCCCTCTGTGAAAAGGTCGGCAGACGAGAAGCATCCATAATTCATCCGCGTCTTTCCTGGGGAAATCCCCGTTTCCCCCAAAACAATTTGCTTTTGCAACAGGAGGAGCCCCAATTCAAAGATATTTGTGTGCAGCATTATCCACCTTGTCGGGGGTGTTATCAGTGGAAAGAGATGCCCATCTTTCTAGGAAAGATTATTATAAAGATTATTAGGAGATATCATTATTTGGCTATATTCTCTTAATATTACAGTATTACATTATTATTATTATTATACGTATCATTGTATTATTATACCACTATAATTATTATAAAACATTACTATGTTTTACTCTATTATTATTATTAGATATTGTAGGAAGGATAATTATAATTAAATAATATAATGATTAATTATAAACTATAATTAATATCATTAATGATATATAATAATTATTTCAGTATTATTTTATATTAAACTAATTATATATTAAAATAATATATAATTATGTTCTATTAGTATCATGGTATTATATTATTATATCATTATATTTGACATTATTATTATATGTCATTATTTGGTTATATTCCATCAGTATTACTATATTATGCTCAACAGGTTTGTAGAAAGGATAATTATAATTATTAAAATTATTGATCTATAATATTAATATTACGCTATTATATTATTGTATATTATATATCTTTAAGATATTATTTTTCTATTAGTATTTTATTACTATTATTCTTTTTATTATATTAATATTGCTTTATACTATTACAATAGATCATTATTTTATTAGTGCTATATTATATTAAGATATGATATTATCTTATTATTCTTTGTAATTATTATAGATTACTATTATGGTATTATAAAGTTTATGCAGATTAATCAACTTTCCCCATGTTTGGTGATAGAACCAATTAGGAAATGGAAAACAATCATGTAACATAGTGTTAATAATAATATTGATTTTGATTATGATTATGATTCTTTTGGGGCTACAAACCAGTGGCTCTACAAAAGGGCAGAGAGATAGATACAGATGCTGCAGTCGTCATGGCCGTAGTATGGTCCTCTTGAGTCTTGCCAGGGCGACTGTGTGTGTGTTTCTGCATGCGTGACACGACACGTGTGCTGGAGGATTCCCCGTCTTCCTTCTTTCCGCCCACGCACACTGCACATGGCTGAGCGAGTCGCCAGGGAAAGGGCCCTGGAGAAGCGGAGGCGGACACGGGATAAGAATAGCCCTCCTCAGCACAGGTGCAAAGTAGACCCCGCAAAACAAAGGGGGTCCCCCATGGAATCCCAAAGGGGAAGCAAGCAGGCAGGCAGGCAGGCAGGCAGAAAGAAAAGGAAGGAAGAGAGGGAGGAAGGGAAGAAGGATAGGTGGAAGGAAGGGAAAATGATGTATGTATGTATGAATGGAAGGAAGGATGGGAAGGAAGGAAGGAAGGAAGGAAGGAAGGAGGGAGGGAGGGAGGGAGGGAGGGAGGGAGGGAGGGAGGGAGGGAAAGGAAGGAAGGAAGGAAGGAAGGAAGGAAGGAAGGAAGGAAGGAAGGAAGAGGAAGGATGAATTGATGGAAGAAAGAAGGGAGGGAGAAAGAAAAGAAGGAGGGAGGGTGGAAATAAGGGAAAAGAATAGATGACTAGATGGAAGGAGGGAAGGAAAGAAAGAGGGACGAAAGAAAGAAAAGAAAAGAAAGGAGGAGGGAGGGAGGGAGGAAGGGAAGAAGGAAAAAAAGAGGGAGGAAAGAAGGATGGATGGATATAAGGAAGGAAGGGGAAAGGATGGTTGGATAGATAGATGGATGGAAGTTCCATCCATCCATCCATCCTTTTCCCTTCCTTCCTTCCAGCACAAGTGTGGTGTCATGAATGGAAGGCATGAATGAAGAAAGAAATGAAAGAAGAAAGAAGGATAGGAGGGAGGGAAGTAGGGAGGGAAGGAGGGAGGGAGGAAAGAAGGAAAGAAAAGAAAAGGACCTTTGTCCTCCTCCTCTCTCCTCCCAAGAGCAAGGCAGGCTTCTCTGCAAGAAAGGAGAGATAACATACAGAGAGGTTTTGCCCAGACAAAGGATGAGTCAATGCCAAAGAGAAAGAAGTGGAAGACAGAGAGGGGAAGGAGAGGAAAGAGGGGGAAAGACAAGGGGTTGCAATAGCCAAGGGGGAAATGCATTGAGCACCAAAAGGTTTGACCGCCATCATAGTTAATGTTGGGCCGAGGGGTACAACAAGGGCTCGCAGCACATAGGACCCAATGCATTTGTTATTGTTATTATAATCATTATCATGATCATCACTATTATTATTATCATCATCACTATTATCATTATCATCATTATTATGAACATCATCATTAGTATTGCTATTATCATCATTATTATAATCTTAACTATTATGATCATGATTACTATCATAATTATCCTCACTATTATCATCATTATCACCACTTTTATCACTATTATTACCATTATTATTACTATCCTCATTATCATTCTTATCACTTATCATAATCATTATTATCACTATTATTATCATTACTATCCTCGTTATAACTATTATTGCCATTATTATCATCACTATTATTGTCATCATCATTATAATCACTACTATTATTTTAATCCCTATTATTACCATTATCATAATCATTATTGTCATCATTATTATCACTACTATTACCATTATAATTACTATCCTAATTATCATTCTTATCACTTATTATCATAGTCATTATCACCATCATTATTATCACTATTATCATTATTATTAATATCATCATCATTATCACTATTATCATTACAATTATTATCACTATTATTACCAGTACTATTCTCATTATCATTATCACTTATCACAATCATTATTATCACTATGATTATCATTATTATTACTATCATTATCATCACTATTATTATCAGCATCATTATTACTATCACTATTATCATTATTACTTCATCTTATCACTACAATTACCATTATTATCATCATCATTATTGCTATTACTATTATTATTGCTGTTGTTGTTGTCATCACTATCGTTATTATTATTAGGACTATCCTGAGGGTTTCACAAGGCCTTGACCTTTCCACAAACAGCCAACAAAACCTTCTGGGTGGTCAGAGCCATTTAATGATGGAATATGCTTCCTAAAAGTCTTCGATTTAATACTCTTCCTCTAGAGGTTAAATCAACTTATATCCCCATACCAAAGAAGGGAAACGCGAAAGACTGCTCAAACTTCCGTACAGTGGCCCTTATTTCTCATGCCAGTAAGGTAATGCTCAAGATCCTGCAAGGAAGACTCCAGCAATACATGGAGCGAGAGTTGCCAGATGTTCAAGCTGGGTTTAGAAAAGGCAGAGGAACGAGAGACCAGATTGCCAATATCCGCTGGATAATGGAGAAAGGCAGGGAGTTTCAGAAAAACATCTATTTCTGCTTCATTGATTATTCTAAAGCCTTTGACTGTGTGGATCATAATAAATTGTGGCAAGTTCTTGGTGGGATGGGCATACCAAGCCACCTTGTCTCTCTCCTGAGGAATCTGTACAAGGACCAAGTAGCAACAGTAAGAACTGACCACGGAACAACAGACTGGTTCAAGATTGGGAAAGGCGTACAGCAAGGCTGCATCCTCTCACCCAACCTTTTTAACTTGTATGCAGAACACATCATGCGATGTGCGGGGCTGGATGAATGCAAAGCTGGGGTGAAAATTGCTGGAAGAAACATTACCAACCTCAGATATGCAGATGACACCACTCTGATGGCCGAAAGCGAGGAGGAGCTGAGGAGCCTTCTAATCAAGGTGAAAGAAGAAAGCGCAAAAGCCGGGTTGCAGCTAAACATCAAAAAACCAAGATTATGGCAACAAGACTGATTGATAACTGGCAAATAGAGGGAGAAAACATGGAGGCAGTGACAAACTTTGTATTTCTAGGTGCAAAGATTACTACAGACGCAGACTGCAGCCAGGAAATCCGAAGACGCTTACTTCTTGGGAGGAGAGCAATGTCCAATCTCGATAAAATAGTAAAGAGTAGAGACATCACACTGGCAACAAAGATCCGCCTAGTCAAAGCCATGGTATTCCCTGTAGTAACCTACGAATGTGAGAGCTGGACCTTAGGGAAGGCTGAGCGAAGAAAGATAGATGCTTTTGAGCTGTGGTGTTGGAGGAAAGTTCTGAGAGTGCCTTGGACTGCGAGAAGATCCAACCAGTCCATCCTCCAGGAAATAAAGCCCAACTGCTCATTGGAGGGAAGGATAGTAGAGGCCAAGATGAAGTACTTTGGCCACATCATGAGAAGAAAGGAAAGCTTAGAGAAGACAATTATGCTGGGGAAAGTGGAAGGCAAAAGGAAGAGGGGCCGACCAAGGGCAAGATGGATGGATGGCATCCTTGAAGTGACTGACCTTGAAGGAGCTGGGGGTGGTGACGGCCGACAGGGAGCTCTGGCGTGGGCTGGTCCATGAGGTCACGAAGAGTCGGAGACGACTGAACGAATGAACAACAACAACAGAGGTTTTTAAAAACTGACGCTAGATGGCCATCTGTCAGCAATGTTTACATTTCTTTTAAACCCCTTTAAGGGCCTTCAGAGGAAGGACAGACAAGTGGAGCTCCATGGGAGACTGGGGAGCCCCTTCGAGGCTTGCCTTCCTTTCCTCTCCTCCCATAGACGTTTGTTCCAGTTTTCTTTTAAACCCCTTTAAGGGCCTTTGGAGGAAGGAGGGAGGAAAGAAGAGTGGAACTCCATGGGAGACTGGGGAGCTCCTTCGAGGCTTCTATGAATTCAAGGAATTTTTACTAATGTTGTGCAAAGGTTTTGTGAATGTTTTGCAAATGCTTGCTTTCCCCCCCCCCTTGGCTTCTGTTCCAAACAGAAGCAGCGTCCAAATATGACTCTCGTGTTGCATTTATACGGTCAAAAGGAGGAAATGTTTGACAATAGAAAGCTCTCAGATAAAACAAACACACACATTCAAAGCTTTGGCAATTTCCAATGTGATATTTTTAGGAATATTTCCATCCCCCAAATACCCCTGCAAAGGAAGCAAATGCAAAATCCCTTTCGAAGAGATGGGTCGGGAACCCTTTGATCCTGGCGACAACTCCCACCATCCCTTACCTTCTGCAGAATGATGGGAATTGTAATCCAGAAGGACTTCCCTTCCCCACGATGCCTGTTGCAGCAAATAGGAGGCACCCCCCGATAGGGTTGTAAGCAAAGGAGTGTGGGGACACCTGCAACCATTTTATCCTTATACTAGGAAGGAAGGAGAGTCTCATTTCTGGCTGTTGTAGGCCAGGTGCCGCTGGTTCATTGGGTTCTCCGGGGAGCGCATCCACTCCTTTTTGAGCAGCTGCTTGAGCTGCGAGAGGCGCATGTTGGGGTTCTCCTGCTTCAGGCGTGGCAGCTGTGCCTCTTCAAAGGCTGCAAAGGCTGCCTTCATCCGACGCTCCGGGTGACGGTCCGCGTCTTCGGCAACACTGCAAGCAAGCAAACAAGTGTTGGTGGTCTGCAATATCCCGCAGAAGCTGGCGGTCCTCATCAAGGAAAGGGGATGCCCTTCCTTCCTTGGCCTCTCTGCCTGCCTTCCTTCCCTCTCCTCCCATAGACCTCTGTTCCAGTTTTCTTTTAAAACGCTTTATGGGTCTTTGGAGTAAGGAGGGAGGAGAGAAGAGTGTAGCTCCACTCTTCTCTCCTCCCTCCAAAGGCCCTTAAAGGGATTTAAAAGATAATATGTACAGTCAGCCCCTAACTTTCCCTGAGTCCTCCATTCCAAGTTTTTTTTTTAATCTTTAAGTCGGCCCTGAATATTCCCCAACTCCTCCATTCTAGTTTAAAAAAAAAAAACTCTTTAAGGGCCTTCAGAGGAAGGAAGGAGGAGAGAAGAGTGGAGCTTTAGAGAGATACTAAGTTAGATAGCTGCTGTCGGCCCCTACCTTTCTCTGAGTCCTCCCTTTTCCTTCTTCTCCTGTGAGAATGAAGAGGTAAGCTGCCTCCAGAGAGACTGTATTCAAAGGCTTTATTCAAAGAACTACATATCAAGATAAGAAAGCGGGCAAACTTTTAGGTACGAGCTGCACATAGCTGCAGTTGGCCCCTAACTTTCCCTGAGTCCTCCATTCCAGGTTTTTTTAAACCCCTTTAAGGGCCTTCGGAGGAAGGAGCTCCACTCTTCTCTCCTTCCTCCTTCCTCCGATAGCCCTTAAAGGGGTTTAAATGATGATGATGATGATGATGATAATAATAATAATAATAATAATAATAACTTTATTCTTATATCCCGTCTACATCTCCCCAAAGGGACTCGGGGAGGCTTACATGGAGACCGAGCCTACTATAAACAAAGGTTACAGAGTGTGACGATGTGTAAATTTTATTCCTTTGGTTATGTGTAGTTTGGACAATGGTTTAGGGATGGTAAGTATGGGAGGTTATGTTTTGTGGGAGTGGCTTGATGTTAGCTAAGTTGCCATAGCAACAGGGGCAGAGCCAACCGCCTCTTCAGAGGCAGCTGTGTTTTAAAAATCCAGTCAGTGGCCGGAGAGCTACTGAGAAAACACTGAATCTTTTGGTGGAGATTCAGGGAATGTGTCTGTAGCCAGTGTGCTATAGGGAAAAACTGAATCTCTTAGAGATTCAGTGAATCAATTGGTGACCAAAGTGGTTGCAGAGAAGGACCCGGTACAGGGGGTTATTGATTCTGAATTAAGAATCAAGATTTGGCTGGGTTTAAGCCCGTTGTGCCAGCTGTGAAACCTTATGAAGTGTTTGCCTGAGTTTACTCATGAAACCTTTCCAATGTAACCATCAAGATTTATGCCTCTTTTGAAGAACAGTTATACATTGTTATACTCCTGTTAAAATAAACTTGTTACTTTTTCCTCAAGCCTTGCCTGATACAGTTTCTTCTAAGTTGAACAGCCTGCAATAATAAAGTCAGCCAGAAACAGTCCCTTTATAAAATAGTTCCTAGGCTGATATTGATCGTTGCCCGGCTTCCCTCATAGATAAGGTGGCAGTGGGTGTTTTACCACTCGCACCTTCACATTCGGTGGCATTAAAACGGTCATCGTTACAATTGGTGGCAGCAGTTTAATAACGGACCTCCTTCACACAGAGTAACACAATTAAAAACCTACAACAGTCAACTATATTAAAAACAGTAAAACCAATAAAATACAAAACATCAGAAAACATGAACCACACAATAAACAACCAATAGCCACAAAAGTGGGCATGTGCAGATTTGAGACTAATTGGACAGGACAAGGGTTTGTGCAAACGTAAAACTGTACAGCCAGGCTGGGAATAAAGTACTGGAGATCCAAATAAAAGATTAGGGCTAGGCAGACTTCATCATAAGGTAGGTGCAATAGGCCTCTAACTTTCCCAGAGTCCTTTCCTCCATTCCAGTTTTTTAAAAAACGCTTTAAGGTCCTTTTCCTGTATGGCAGAGGGTTGGACTAGATGGCCCATGTGGTCTCTCCCAACTCTATGATTCTATAATATTAATAAAATATAAATGGAATACTATCACTATTAATAAAATATTGATATCAATACTAATAAAATAGAAATATCAATATTAATAATCTTGATTTAATATTAATAACAAAATTAATAAAACACTATTAGTATTGATATTAATATCAATGATTAATATTATCAATATTAATAATATTAATCATTAATACAAATAAGAATAATGACATATATGAACAATATTATGTTTAAATATACATAATATTAATAATAATATTGATATGTAATATTTTTCGCATAAGGAGTGACTTGAGAAACTGCAAGTTGCTTCTGGTGTGAAAGAATTGGCCGTTTGCAAGGACGTTGCCCAAGGGATGCCCGGATGTTTTGATGTTTTATCATCCTTGTGGGAGGCTTCTCTCATGTCCCCACACAGGGAGCTGGAGCTGACAAAGGGAGCTCATCTGCACTCTCCCCGGATTCGAACCTCCAACTTGTCTTTCTTCAGTCCTACCAGCACAAGGATTTAACCCACTGCGCCATCGGGGGCTCCTATTTGATGATAATGATGATGATGACGATGATGATGATGGGAGCCAGAAAGAGACTGGAGGTCCATCTGCCAGGAGGGATTGTATGATGCCTTCCAAGATGACAGAATAGGGTTGGGCTCGATGGCCTTTAGGGGTCCCTTCCAATTCTAGGATTCTATTATTATTATTATTATTATTATTATTATTGTTGTTGTTGTTGTTGTTGTTGTTGTTGTTGTTGTTAAGCAGAGGCTGACAGAAGGAGCTCATCCGAGCTTTCGCCGGATTCGAACCTGCAACCTGTCGGTTTTCAGTCTTTCCGGCACAAGGGCTTAACCCACTGCGCCACTGGGGGCTTTGCGATATGTAAATGATGGCCTGAAACATTCGCACTGTGCCTTGCACCTGTGGGTAATGGAAGCTTCCCATAAGCTCCAGGCAACGAAGAGAGCTCCATACAGGTGTCAACTGGGCTCTTCCTGCCTCCCCAGGCCTACCTGAGAACAGCAATAGCCTCCTCAATGGTTCGTGCCTCCACCGCCCCTTCCTCCAGCACCTGCCGGTTGATGTTCTCCTCCAAGGGAGTCTCCAGGTGGCTCTTCTGCTTCTCACCTACCAAGGAAGGGAATGCAAGTGGTAAGCCAAAACCAAGCCCTTTCGGAAGGAAGGGAGGGAGGGAGGGAGGGAGGAGAGAGAAAGAGAAGGGCTCAAGGAACAGGAAAAGAGATCTCTCCTGAACGCAAGGAAGCATGTCGTGACTATTCAGCAGTGGAACTCTCTGCCTCAGAGTCCGGTGGAGGCTCTTTCTATGAGGTTTTCAAGCAGAGGTTGGGTGGCCATCTATCAGTGTGTTTTAATTGTGTCTTTCCTTCCTGCCTGGCAGAATGGGGCTGGACTGGATTGCTCTTGGGGACATTCAACTGTTAAGTAGAAGCTGGATAGCCATCTGTCAGGAGGGCTTTGATGGTGTTTTTCCTGTCTAGCAGAATGGGGCTGGACTGGATGGTCTCTTGGGCCCCTTCCAGCTTGAGATTAGGATACTATGACAGGTTGGATGGCCATCTGTTGGGAGGGATCAGATTGTGTGCTTCCTAGCACAAAAGAGCCGGGCTGGATGGCCTTTGGGAGGCCCTTCCAACTCTAGGATTATTAAGCAGAGGCTGGATGGCCATCTGCCATGAATGATCAGATTGTGTACCTCCTAGGAAAAAAAGGGCTGGGTTGGATGGCCTTTGGAGGGGCACCCTCCAACTCTAGGATTATTAAGCAGAGTGACGGTGCTTTTCCTGCCTAGCTGAATAGGGCTGGACTGGATGGCCTCTTGGACTCCTTCCAGCTTGAGATTAGGATCCTATAACAGGTTGGACAGCATCTGTTGGTGGGATTGGATGGTGTCCCTCCTAGCAGAAAGGGGTTGGGCTGGATGGCCTTTGGGGCCCCCTCACCTGCGACCTCCCCGTCCTCCCGGGCCTCCTTCCGGAGCGCCTCCTCAATCTGGGCGCGGGTGACTTTCCCCGGGGGCGGTGGGGCCTTGGGGGCCTTGCCCTTTAGCTGGGCGTCTTCCTCGTCCAGGAGGCGCTGCAGCTCCTTTTTCCGCTCCAGCTGCTCCATGCGCCGCTTCTCCCGATCCCCCTGCAGCAGGAAAAAGGGGGACTGTCAATGCTATTTCCATTTGAAAAGGCCAATCTGCAACAACAGCAGCAGCAGTTCTGCAGATGAGAAGCTTCCATTGCCAGCAGTAGAGCCACTGAGCTTCGTCAAGCTCATTCTAAAGAGCTGTAAGAGGCTTCATTAACAAAACAACATTACTATGTATGAGGCAACTTTAGCCCTCCCTCTGGGCGATTTGGACTTCAACTCCCGCAACATTTAATAGCCCGTAATAATACAATAATAATATACTAATATTGTAACAAAACAATACTATAATTATATAATAACAAAAATAATCTAATAATATTATAATTATAATAAGATAATAAACATAATATAATATACTAACATTTTTATTATCAGAATATACAATTTCAATTTTTCCAAAAATGCAAAAATAAAGAACCTATATCTATGTCAGGAAAGTACACGGTATTTAAGAAAAAAGAGACATAACCATATTTTAATGTCTTAATATAGTCTATAAATACCATCATTAAACATATTAGCATTTTGCATACTCTAATCTAACATAACAGTTATTGAAAAAGTCAGTTTCTTAATTGTACAAAATGCAAAAGGTAAAATACAACTCCCATCATGCCAGGTTGACCCCAATAAACTCCATCAGTACTTAAAGTTTGCTATGTTGGGCAAGTTTGCTCTGGATGCATCATCAGTGGGATTCGGTGTGCTCTCTGGCTGCAGGGTACACTACAACTCCCACTATGGTGAGTCAGTCCCCTCAAGCCCCAGTAGATTGAGTTAGTCATGGGAGTTCTGTGTGCCAAGTTTGGTCCAGGTCCATCAGCAGTGGAGGTCACAGTTTCTCTGATTGTGGGTGAAGTACAACTCCCAGAAAGGAAGGTCTGCCCCACCCCTCCCCAAAACCCCTTCAGTAATCAAATATCATCATTTCGGGTATGTGTGCCAAGTTTGGTGCAGCTCCATCGGTGTTTGGGTTCACAGTGCTCTCTGGATGTACGTGAACTACAACTCCCCCTAATCAAGGTGAATTTCTCTCAAAGACCTCCAGTATTTTTTGCTGGTCATGAGGTCTCTGTGTGCCAAGTTTGGTCCAATTCCATCTTTGCTGGAGTTCAGAGTGCACATTGATTGCAAGGTGAACTATACATCCCAGTACCTAAAACTCTTATAAATAATGGCGAATTCTCCCCAAACCTCTCCAGTATGTTCAGTTGCTGATCAATTCTTCTCTGTTTGCTGTGTGCCATAGGAAAGGGTAGGAAAGGGTTATGGGAGAGGCAATGGACAGGGTCATGCAAACTCCACATCAATGGAAAGAGTAAGAAACACTGGGATGTCTGTGGTGGAGGAAACACATAAAATCTAGGATGAAATTGTCCTCATATGAAAGCCTTCACTTGGATGAAGGGGAGTATGGTGTTTGTGGTGGACATTGGCAGGGCCCTTAGACATGTTCATAGCGTTCATTATAACCTGCGATTTAACTGGAGGGAGGGCCATTGGTGTCTCCTGAATAGTGGGAGCTATAGCTATCTGTGGAAGTGGGGAGCCTGTCTGGAGACACCCCAGTCACATTCACACATACATATTTTAACTTTTATTATGCGGATAGATAGATGTATTGCATTTTAGGTTCATATGTCTTGACCTTGTTTTATCCCGCCTTGAGCCACTAGGAAATGTAACAAATAAAAAGTATTATTATTATTATTATTATTGCAAAAAAGAGGGAAGATCATATTCCATAGACCTCAATTGCAGGGTTTTCTTTAAAACCCCTTTAAGGGCCTTTGGGGGAAGGAGAGAGGAGAGAAGAGCGGAGCTCTAAAGGTAGTTTTTAAACTGCCTTAAGTGCTTTTGAAGAAAGAAGGCAGGATGGATAGATTAGCCTCAAATGGAGGTGCGACTATGATGCGACAAATCTCAGAGCTTGAAACTGAGCAAGGCAGTGGCCGATGAGGAAGAAATGGCCCGAAGGAGGAGAAAATGAAAAAAGAAAGAAAGACAGAGACACGTTTGGAAATGACATTTATAACCCAGGAACAAAAAGTATGTTACATAGTGTTACAACTATAAAACGGGGGTACGACTACTATGTGAAGAAAAAGCAAAAACGTGCGTTACGAGGTATTATAATTATAAAATGGGGTGCGACCATTATGCGAAGAAAAAAACAAAAATCGTTATGTAGCGTTGTACGGTAATTATAACATGGGGTTGTGACTATTACATGAGGAAAAATCACCCTGGCCTTTCTAGGACAAATCTCAGAGCTGGAAATGGAGCAAGGAGGAGATAATGAAAAAGAAAAGAGAGATAGAAACACGGGAAAGAAAGGGTTGTGAGAAAGAAGAGCAATGCGGGGGACGGACACTAGGGACAATTGAGGCGACTGCGGAGCAACACATGCCGTTCCAAATGGCACGCGTCCCAATTGAAGCCACAAGCATTAAGCAAATTAAAGGCAGGTGCCATCCGTAAGAGGCAGTTCAATGTTGTCGAGCGGCTGGCGGGCCTTGAAACCCGAGGCCTTTGTGGTCCCAAGGGCAGGCCTCGGGTTTCAGAGGCAGGCAAGGCATGTGTCGGCCCTTCCTGAAACACAACGAGGGCCCCATCGTCTCTGGTGCCACGTTGACCAAGTCATGCCATCTCTTTTCTTCCTTGACAAGATGCTAGGAACGCTTCAAAGGCCTGCGTGATGTATATTGTAAATTGGGCCAGCAACGGTATCACTCTTTTGCAGCACAAGAGCCAGAAAGGGGAGCCCTGAGATCTGGTCATTATTTCACAAACACATTACTACTACTACTACTACTACTACTGCTACTTTATTATCATCATCATCATCACCACCACCATCATCTTATCATCTATAGTATATGCAATTCAGCACAGGAGAGGGCAGCCTCTCCATTTTTATACTTTTGAGAATAGCCCATAAGTGGCAATGGCTGTTAAAGTCACCAGTTACTACTGCCCTTCGGTGCCCATGAAAGTTCTCAGAAGAGGAGAACCAAAACTCTTCATTTGGGGGCTTATACATAGAGGTAACTCAGGGTTATAATCCAGGACCAGAGAAGCAGATGGCAAAAACAGAAGAACAGCCTGCCTGAGGGGAGCGTGTTTGCTCCACCATTGTTTAACATTTACACAAACGACCAGCCACTGCCAGATGGGACAGAGAGTTTCATTTATGCTGACGATCGTGCCATCACCGCTCAAGAAGGGAGCTTTGAAATGGCTGAACAGAAACTCTCTGAAGCTTTAGAAACTCTTACTGCCTATTATAGGGAAAACCAGCTGATGCCGCATCCATCTAAAACACAGACGTGTGCTTTTCACCTTAAGAACAGACAAACACTTCGAGCTCTTAGGATTACCTTGGAAAAAATCCCACTGGAGCATTGCAGCACACCAAAATACCTGGGAGTCACTCTGGACTATACTTTGACTTACAAGAAGCACTGCTTGACTATCAAGCAAAAAGTGGGTGCTAGACACAATATCATACGAAAGCTGACTGGCACAACCAGGGGATCACAACCAGACACAGTGATGACTTCTGCCCTTGTGTTTTGCTACTCTGCTGCTGAATACGCATGCCCAGTTTGGAACACATCTCACCACATTAAAACACTGGATGTGGCAGCTAATGAGACATGCCTCATTAACACAGGATGTCTATCCCCAAAACTGCTGGAGGAATTGCACTGTTTAGCAGGTAATGCACCACCTGGCATCCGTCAGGAAGTAGCAGCCAGCAATAAAAGGACAAAGGCATGGACATCTCTGGCCCATCCTCTGTTCGGATATCAACTAGCAAGCCAATGCCTTAAATCAAGAAACAGCTTGCCAAGAGCCACAAAGATACTTGCAGGAACACCTCAGCAAGCAAGAGTCTAAAAGTGGCAGGCAAAAACCCGGAACCTCAGTCAGTGGCTGATAACGGATGACAAAATTCCCCTCTGGGCAAACAGAAGACTGGGTGACCTGGAAGGCACCGAACAGGCTGCGTTCTGGCACTGCGAGATGCAAAATCAACCTTAAGAAATGGGGCTGCAAAGTGGAGTTCACAACATGTGAGTGCGGAGAAGAGTAAACCATAGTCCACCAACTACAATACAATCTGAGCCCTGCCACATGCACAATGGTCCTCTCACAGCGACACCAAAGGCACTCCAAGTGGCCAGCTTCTGGTCAAAGGACATTTAGCATCACACCAAGTTTTTAAATTTTGTGTTTTTAAATATGTTATAACTGTATTCTCAATTTGTTTCTGGCACCATAAAAAATAAACAAACAAACAACCATCATCTTGGGAAATGTTGGTGCCAGCTGGGGAAAAAAATCTGAATTATTATTATAACTATTATTATCATCACCATCTTGGGAAATGTTGAGGCCAGCTGGAAAAAAAACCAATTATTACTATCATCATTATCATCATCGGAAATATTGGTGCCAGTTGGAAAAATCTATTATTAGTATTATCATTATCACCTTGGGAAATGTTGGGGCCAGCTGAAAAAAACCAATCAGAGTTATTATTATTGTTGTTATTGTTGTCATTGTCATCATTTTGGGAAATGATGTGGCAAACTGAAAAATTGGACCAGGCTATAGAACAGCAGTTTAACTGCACCCGCAACAAATCTTGCCAATCGAATGGTTGACAGTTCGTAGCTTGGGTCGGGGTGAGCTCCTGGCCTTCAGCCCAGCTTCTGCTTACCTAGCAGTTCAAAAGCAAAAGTGAGTAGAAAAATAGGGACGAAAAATGCTGCTGATTCAATCGAGGAAGTTTGCGAACAAGCTCTTTGCCAGGGAAAAGTGGAATGATAGCACCGCCCCATGGCTGGAACCAAGCACAAGCCTCCAAGATTCTGAAGATGGGAAAAACCTATTTATACCTCTATCTAGTTACAGTTGTTTTCTTGTCACTGTACAATGGCATTGAACGTTTGCTGTATATGTGTTCTGTTATCTGTCCTAAC